TTTCAAACTCTTCTCTAGTCCTGATTTTATTAAAAGTAAATACAGTAATTAAAGTATGCAAATTTCACAGATACTCGACTAACAAATTACTCGTACTCATTCTGTATGGCAGCTAGACTGCTTCCTGACACGTAAGAAAGCTGTGCATTAGATCCTCATTATGCTAGTAAATATAACAACAGCTGTACATTCCTTTGTCATATTTACTGAATTCTGAACATCATCTGAAACCCTAAACTAGACTTTTGTGGTCATTCCACTTCATTAAGGGGTTTCACTGGGCCTCAAACATGCTTTGAGCACCCAAAGGATGAACTTTTTCTTTCGGAGCTAAATGTGACCGACCGCTTTGTTTTCCCCAGTGGCACCAGTGATGTAGGCACAATAATTGCTAATTGTAAATAGCACTGGGATGTTTTAAACTGTTATCACAGTGTTATTGATGCTGTTATGTCAAACCGATTACCTTACAACAGTAAAAATCACAAAGCACTGCATAGATAGAAAAATGCTGATCTGTCGCTCTGCTGCAAAATCCAGATCAAAAGTATTTGATGTACGTTGGCTGTGCGGAAACACATGGCAGCTTCTGGTTTTACCTCAGACTATGAAGGGCATTGGTCTCAAAGTTAGATCATGGTTTGTTGTATTCATTTATCCACCGGTTCAGTCACAGGCACTATCCCTCATAGTACAGTTCCAAGGACATCTTTGAGGCTGACTCTAAAGTGTTTACGTGCCACGTCATAGGTGGCCCTGGACAGGTCACTGATAAGGATAAAGCACACAACCAAATTCACACCATGGCAACCTTTCTTAGAACATTTGTTAGACACCGACGATAAAGACAGATGGATAAATTACATTTATTATGTTCAGTAAAGGGTTGCTGATTCCACTGTGGACCTAAAGCCACATGAAATCAAATGGATGTAAGAAGAAGTCGCATGACAGGGAAAAAAAGAACGGCACGAAAGCAGGGTGTGTGTGATGTTTGGTGATGAATGTTGTACCTTCATCCCAAACAATATTGCTGCTAATGGATATTTTAATGGATTTAATAATACAGTTTGATAAACATGTCTCACACCAAATCATTCCTTATCTCAACAACACTCTCTCATAAATGAACAAATTAATTTAACTAAAGTTTTAAAGCTGTCTTTTTGCAGTTGAACAACCAATGCTGTTTCATATTTCCATGTGTAATCTGATAGCTTTTCCTTTGTATTATTACTGCTATGTTTGCACAAAAATTTAACACTCCAAGAGCAACTGAAAATAAACAGAAGGGTGGAGACTCAGACTAAGAAGAGCGGGTAGGTGGTGAGAATCCAGAGAAAGGTATGCTTAAACGGCATTTTTAAGAGATATGTATTTTTTGATAAAGCTTCTGTTTAACATTAATTGCAATGTATGACAATAAAAGAGTTGATACACTCCTCATTAAGGACATGGAAGTAGAGATATCAGGCGCTTTATGGGCCAATGGGTTGAAGAGGATTAAAGAATGCTCTGTTAATGCCAGATTACAACTTATATGGTTCAAAGTCCTTCATCGTTTGCATTTCTATAAAACAAAGCCAGGCAGTATTTGTCTATTATCTATTTCCTCATTGCGTGATAGATGCAAAGCAGTCGAAGGAACCCTTGGCCCTTAAAATGTTATAAATGCTGTCGTGTATTCTATGAAAACAGTTTTGTCAGTGAGAATTACATACTTATCTTTTGTTAAATACTCAGTTTCCTGTACCTCTGTACTATTTTTTCTCAAACTGCTCATCAGTTCCCTCTGACCCATGTGCTGTTACATGCAGCGCGTTTGTTTCTATGTAATCAGATGTGTGTGTGTGTGTGTCATGGTACAAATTTCACATGTTTGTCAGAAACAGGAAAACCAACAGTCTGTTGGAGTCACTGCACTCATTTAATCATCTGCACGATGGAAGATAAATCCCCTTTCCCTGAAATAATGGCAGTCATCTAGTTTACATGTCAAACCTAAACCCACCAAGTTGACAGGACAGCATGACAACAATAGAAATGCAAGTTTAAAAGATTATTTTTAAAGACTATTATAAAAGATCATTTCCTTTATTTAATTAATCTCACGTGTTGTTTAATCATTAGAAAGCATCTTATAATTTTAACATATTATCACTAAATTTGTTGACTGATCACTAATTGGAGGCACCGGTCTATTAAAAAATCAACCTGTTGTCCTGCAAGGTCTCGGTCAGCAGTAAGTGTCTGTTAAGTTTTCCAATTTTAACAGTAATGGGAGATATGGCATGTTTATGAGTATAAGCTGGTCTGCATTACACGCGTGTGTGTGTGTTGTTTGTTAGTAAACGGGTTAATGCATTTGCTGTTAGGATGTGTGTACCTTTTGTTGTGATGCTCAGGACCCTTTCTTAACCTTCACTCTGAGTCAGTCTGCCTTAGTTTTTCCTGGTTTTCCGTAACCCAATCTTCATGTGTGCCCACACTAAAAACAGCCTTCATTGTTCCTCTATGTTCTCTTCTCCCTCCTTCTCACGGCCGCTGCCTGCATCTCCCACATCCTGCAGCACATCATGGTTATAATGCGCACATTATCAGCAGTTCAGTGGGCAGTTCTTCTTCAGCTTTGTCTTATTTTTCAGTTATTCTGTCAGTCCGGGATCTTCTCCTGTGTGAGGAAACCCCTCCCTACCTTACAGTTGTTACCAGGGATGTTTTATTTTCATGCTGATGTCAGCTTTAACTGACACAATGAAGTCAGTTTTTCTTTCTTGTTGACTAGACCACCCTGTTATCATACACCCAAGAACAAGCAGCCTGTCTGCTCTGTGTTGTGCTCTGTAAGTGTTTAGCAATTTGCCTTCAACACTCAACTCTGTTAACTCCTCTTAGTTAACCCTTCACACCGTGAGATCGAACATTTGACCAGAAACAATTTGACTTGCCCATGTGGAGCAGGGGCTTCTTTCTTGGTCAGCACACTCTCAATCGGGTTCACTATGGACAGAGATGCTGGTGTTCCAGCAGTTTCCAGTTCATGCAGGTTTGAACTCCTAAACATTCTAACTAATTTCCTCTCCTACAATTTTGATTGTGACACATTCAAATAACTTGAACGGATGAGATAGAAATGGCTCTAACTCATGTAAATGTGCAATTCCCTTTTCAAATCCCCAGCCCATGATCACTGGTATAAATGAGAACCTACCTGTCAGTAGACTTGTATTAAAATAGTTTTTGTTTTGTCTTCCTCTTGTGTTGACCAGGTGCTGAGGAAGGTTACTTCACAGGGATGTTGCTGAAAAAGTCACGAGTCACATTTGTGGAGAGTGAGATAGTACCTTATCGCACCACTAAGATGAGGAGGAACCTGCTTGTCGCTCAGGTGTGTGCAAAATCATCTCTGATATTTTCTTTGTGTGCATAAGTTCTGCTGAACGTGACGCTCAGAAACATTTTTTTTTGCAAAAATCAGGTGATCGTCGATGGTCAGAAGCTGTGCCTGATGACATCCCACTTTGAGAGCTGTAAGGCCAATGCTAAATAGCGTATGAATCAGCTGCATGTGGTGAAGTGGAGGTTTAAACATGCACCTGATGATGTCACCGTTGTGTTTGGGGGAGACACAAACCTGAGGGATGCGGAGGTCAGACGCTGCTCCTTCCACTCACATACAGCCAGTAAACTTATAACAAGTAATCACAGTAACTCTTTTCTCTGGACCCGTCTCAGGTGACCAAGGTGGGCCTGCCTGCAACTGTCTGTGATGTGTGGGAGCGACTGGGCAAGCAGGAGCACTGCCGCTACACGTGGGACACCTCTGCCAACAACAACAAGAAAGCTTCCTACCCTGTTCGCTTCCGCTTTGATAGAATCTACCTCCGCCCGGCCGTCAGACGTGGAGTCCCACGTCTGGCCCCTGATCACATGGCCTTGGTGGGGCTGGAGAAGCTGGACTGTGGACGCTATACTAGTGATCACTGGGGAATCTACTGCACCTTCACAGCTGAATAGAACTACACAAAGCAACCAAAAACATGACAGTTAAGCATTTTATTTTAGATCAGCCGCTCTTTAAATGACTGTAACACTATGCAGGAAGATGTTCCTCACCTTATTTTAATCGGTTTTATACTCTAATGTGTGTCTGCTTAAGTGTTTTATGTGGTTAAAATGACAAATTAAAATATGAAAAGCACCAATAAATTTTATTGATATGCCCTTACATTGATGGATGAAAAGTCCATTAACAGAAGTCTGACAGCTCTTCAGCTTTTAACCTTGTTACATGATCTTCCTCAGTGGATGGAGTTGGGACTGAAAAACACCACACACAGCATGAGAAACCCTACTGTGATGTTACTCTGTGTGTAATACACGCATCAGGCCACTAGAGAGCAGTACACAGTTGAATAGCAACTGTGTCAACACTGACTTACAGGACTGAAAGTAGTGTTATGAGAAGTCTTAATGGTGAGTCCAACTTGTAACAGCAGCACACGTATGCCTGAAGCTGTTGATCCACGGTTTTAACAGCTACATGCAGTAGCATCCATCCACTCTCTTCTGTTTATCTAATTCAGGGACTGGAGCCTGTCCCGGCTGTTATAGGGCAAGAGGCAGGGTACACCTTAGACGTGGTAAAAAGTGATTTTGCCACATGTGTTTTTGTTTTATGTGACATTAAAAGAAATAAAATTTGGCATATTTTATTAAGGACCGAAAGCCCCCACCCCGGTTAATATTTCTATTTGTTGTAATAAAGTTTGTAATTAATAAATGTAGTTATTTCAAACCCAAATCCGTTAGGAAAAAGTCAGCTTTGTTTGCTTTTCTCTGTTAATTATTCTTTATCTGTATGTACACTGATTAAAGTTTGGGTAAAAACATTGTACAACCTTTATAGAATGGGTGGAGCCAGAACTTCGACCTTAATTTGATTATCACGAGTTTAAGTGGGCGTGTTTCCTAAATCAGCAGTAGTCGTTAATCAGCTGACGGGTGAACAGGTTGTGTGAAGGTAAATTTGAGAATCTGCCGAGCTGGTCTGTGGCGTACTGGAGACAGTGGTTTATTTTACAGAAACACAGAGGTACGATACCAGCCTGAATACTTTCGTTTTTTTTAAATTATTATTGTTATTTAAATAATGTCAATATGAAGAGGTTACACACATATTACAGACTGAAAGTCATTTTGATCAGTAAGACTGGAACAGAGCTTAAAATTTTTTAAAAGTTCCATCAATTGATGGCAGGAAGAGAAGTCAAAAAACTTGTTTAAATTAACAAATTTATAAACAGAACTCTGTCATTCAGGCACAGAGAAACTAATGAGTTATAATCAAGCAGGCTATTCATGTTTAAAGTTGCATAAGACAGTTTTTAGTTTTTATTCTTTCAGCTGTAGTTTGGAGGGTATTTAATGGCCTGAGAGCACATACAGAATGGGGATTAGGCATTAAGGGGTTTGTAAATATAGATGGAGATTGAAAATAGTTTAGTAAAGTGTTTTACACATGTATACAATTATTTATGTATTTATTTTTGTGCGAACACACTTTGAATTGTCTTACGGTGTATTCCTAATAGTATCTAGGCACATGTGGTCTTAGTGTGGTGCTGGTGTTGTTGGGGCTGAGTTGTGTTGGAATCTGTCTGTGGAGGGTGATGGCCAGAAGTGTTTGTCTTGTTGTCTGGTGGAAAAATAAATGTCTTTCACTTTCAAAATACCTCCTACCTGGGCCCGTCCACACCCAGCTCACACCCAGGAACCACCAAAGCTCAAGCTGCCATCAACTACAACCTGTGGGAACGCCAGCGTCACCGTCTCACTGCTCCAAAATCAACGTCTTCAAGCTCGGCTGAAGTTTGTAGCTGCTCACATAGACAAGCCAAATCCTTATAATTTCAATTAAATTCTGTTTTATTTATACAGTAGAAAATCACAACAACAATCACCTTAAGGCGCTTTATATTGTAAGGTAGACCTTACTATAATACATTCAGACAAAAACCTAACAATCATATGACCACCTATCAGCAAGCACTTTGGCAACTCCCTTTTAACAGGAAGAAACATCCAGCAGAACCAGGCTCAGGGAGGGGCAGCCATTTGCCGTGACCGGTTGGGGTGAGGGGAGGAAGACAGGACAAAAGACATGCTGTGGAAGAGAGACAGAGATTAATAACAAGTACGATTCAAAGCAGGGAGGTCTATTAACATATAGCGAGTGAGAAAGGTGACTAAAGAAGAAATACTCATTGCATCATGGGAATGTTGCAGCATAACTAAGGGATGATTAATAGTCACCTGATCCAACCCTAACTATGTGCTTTAGCAATCTGGAGGAAGGTTTTATAGTCAAATGAGTCAAAGACTGAGCTTGTTGGACACAATGACAAGAGGCGTATTTGGAGGAGTACAGGTGAGGCTTTCATCTGCTGTCAAGCATAATGGTCGTAGCACCATGCTCTGCTGTGTTTTGTTGCCAGTGCATAAAGTGGATGGCATAATAAAGGAGGACTACCTCCAAATACTTCAACTTCACCTCAAATCAACAGCTAGAGGCTTGAAACTTTGACACAGCTGGGTGTTCCAACAGGACAATGACCCCAAACCCATCAAAACTGGTTTTGAATGCATAAAGCAGTCTAACATGGAGCATCTGGACTGGCCTCCCCAAAGCCCCGACCTTAAACCTATTAAAAACTTTTGGTCTATACTTAAAAGCTGAATATGAGCCACAAAACCAACCAATTTAAATTAACTTTGTTTCCAAGAAGTGTGGTCAAATATCCAGCCAGATTTATGTCAGAAGCTGATCTCTACCAAAAGAGTCTGGCCGAGACTCGCCATCACCAGTGTGTGAATGTGTGTGTGAATGGGTGAATGACTGAATGTAGTGTAAAGCGCTTTGGGGTCCTTAGGGACTAAGTAAAGCGCTATACAAATACATGCCACTTACCATTTAATCAAATATTATATGGGTTATATGTCATCATTGAAGACGCTGATTTCTGTAATAAACGTTTTCAATTTAAAATATGTTATTAAAAGAATATTTTCTAAGTCAGGATAAAAAGGAATATCATTCTTTGACTTTAAATAGAACAGATGATTGCAAAATAGGATGTGGATTATTTACTTTTTGGTTGAGAGTCAGTCCACTCGTGACATGGTGAACGGCCTGCAGACCAGGAAAATCAACCTGCTCTTACTGACATTAGAGGAAATAATATTTGACCATTTTTATTAAGGACAGAAGGGTTTTGTCACTTTTGTAGTAAGAACAGGACCCAACGCAGGACTTTTCCAAAAAGTGACAGTGAATTTATTTACAGTGAAGAAAGGTAAACAACAACGTGACAATCCCCACACCGTGGCTCCCATGGCGATTTCTCTAAAATCCCACATTCGTGCGTGTCCTTGGCGTGAATCGTGAAACTCCAAATCCCAAACTGTACAGTGGCCCCGCTCCTGTGAAACACTCCATTAACAAATCCTGGCAAGACAAGACACACACAAAGTCTTCACTATGAGGCCGGGGATGTACTGCTGAGTAAACTCAACGATCCAGGGTTGCCTGAAGCTCAGCCCCACAGTTAAGAGGGAGACTGCACGTAATGATAATCAGCTGATAAGCAGACACATGGGCGGGGCGACCAGCGAGGGCAGCCAGCTCAAGATAAACCCAAGAAATACTGACAAGCCCAAAAAACACATGAACCCTGGGTCTGGCCATGACAGGTTTTCGTCCCAGCTTTGGTTAATATTTATTATATGTTTTAATGCATATATGTAGTTATTTTAAAGCCCAATCTTTTTGGAAAAATTCAGCTCTCATAACTTTGATTTAATTACACACTTTTGAAATCTGTGGTGGTGTTGTATCAAACCTTTTATTTCTTAGTTTTTGCTTTTTTGCTTGCTTGCATTTATATAGTGTGGTACTTACTGAACCTCTGTTGTTGCTTTGTTTGCTTTTCTCTGTTCACTGGCCTTTCTCTGTTTGGGGAAGGAATTATGCAACGCAGAATGGGTTGGGATAGATACAATGGGAGGAGCTAAAACATGTCAACATACTTTGAACCTTAATTGTTTGCAACCATGGACACAAAAAGTCAAATAAACATACTGAGAAACTGCCTGGGTGCATTTCCAGCAAAGCCATGTTTGTAAAGTTATAGTAAATTATTAGAAAGCATAACCTTCCTGGGACTTTTCCTTCAGAGATCCTTGAGCTAACTTGTTGAAGCAGACATGGAGAGCGACTCTGAAACACACAGTGGTGAAGATACTACTCCAGATGACTGGTAAGTCTGCTGTCTGTTCTCCTATGTATGGTGAAGGTTACCTATGACTCTTTGTATTTTAGCTGACTGACTCTGTGAAAAACTTCCAGGATGGATTTGGCTGTAGACAGTCCAGCTGCCAGTCCTGCTGCTACACAGAAACCCTCAGAAGAAGAGGATTTTAAACTGTCCCTGATCACCTGGAATGTGGACGGGCTTGATTTGGAAAAACGTCCAGAGCGTTCCAGAGGCCTGGTTAAATATTTAAACTTGTAAGTACCTGTTACACTTTTCACACTTTTAGGCATCGTTTGGAGAAAATGTTGTTGGAGATGCAACATTTTCCTAAAAGCTGCACATATGTGACATTTAATATTATTAAAGTAAATCTCTGTAAATACAGACACAACCCTGATGTGGTGTTCCTGCAGGAGCTCGTTCCCCCTTATGTCCAGTTCTTGAAGGAACAGCTCGTCAACTACCTGATGATTGAAGGTACAGTATGTCAGATAGATACAGGTAGGAAAGGCACAGGTATGAATGATCAAATGGTGATTAATGGCTGAATGCAGCTGAGCTGCTTTGCTTTGACTTCATGTAACACATGAAGAGAGCTGTTAAGGACTTTAGTCAATATTAGTAACATCTGTGTTCTTCCTTCACTGTTTTTGAACAAACTCTAAGGGCTTAAGTGCACATGAGGTAATCAAGGAGATAGGACACACCAGGGAACAAGGGTGAACAAAATCTGACTAACGAGACAGACTGAACAACACACACAAGACAAAAAATCCAGGAAGTAACACAAACACTGAGACACAGACTAAGGCGCATGAACTAAAAACTGAGACTGGGAATAAAAAGACATGGAAACACAAAACAGACTGGAGAGGCAAAAGGACAAAACACACAGAGAAAAACATGCGAACAGGACTACAGACATATTAACTAGACAAGACAGGGAACATATGCAGACACAGAGACACAACAGGGAAGGCAGGGATCACTAAGGGAACTAAGATCAACCAGGGAACAGAACTAGAAACATGGATAACAAAACTCAGAAGAGCTAGGAACTAATACTCAAAGAAAAAACAAATCATTGACTAAAGATTTGATTTGAAGGGGAACCAAAGCTTAAAAGTCTCCATCTTTCTCTTCCTTTTGTGTTGATCAGGTGGTCGGAACGGTTGCTTCACAGGGATGTTGCTGAAAAAGTCACGAGTCAAACTTGTGGAGAGCGAGATGGTAGCTTATCCCACCACTAAGATGAGGAGGAACCTGCTGGTCGCTCAGGTGTGTGCAAAATCATCTCTGATATTTTTTTTCATCTCCATAAGTGATGCTCAGGAACATTTTCGTTTCCAAAGCTCAGGTGATCGTCAACGGTCAGAAGCTGTGCCTGATGACATCCCACTTTGAGAGCTGTAAGGAAAATACTGCAGAGCGTCTGAAACAGCTGCATGTGGTGAAGCGGAGGTTGAAACATGCACCTGATGATGTCACCGTTGTGTTTGGGGGAGACACAAACCTGAGGGATGCGGAGGTCAGACGCTGCTCCTTCCACTCACATACAGCCAGTAAACTTGTAACAAGAAATCACAGTAACTCTTTTCTCTGGACCCGTCTCAGGTGACCAAGGTGGGCCTGCCTGCAACTGTCTGTGATGTGTGGGAGCGACTGGGCAAACAGGAGCACTGCCGCTACACGTGGGACACCTCTGCCAACAACAACAAAACGTTTCCCTTTGTCGCTCGCTGCCGCTTTGACAGAATCTACCTCCGCCCGGCCATCAAACGTGGAATCCCACGTCTGGCCCCTGATCACATGGCCTTGGTGGGGCTGGAGAAGCTGGACTGTGGACGCTACACTAGTGATCACTGGGGAATCTACTGCACCTTCTCAGCTGAATAGAACTACACAAAACAACCAAAACCATGACAGTTAAGAATTTTATTTTAGATCAGCCTCTCTTTAAATGACTGTAACACTATGCAGGAAGATGTTCTTATTGCCTGTAAATGATTCACCTTAATTTAATCAGTTTTATCCTCTAATGTGTGTCTGCTTAAGTGTTTTATGTGGTTAAAATGACAAATTAAAATATGAAAAGTACTAATGAATTATAATGTCTTTGTTTTGATGTACACTTACATTGATGGATGAAAAGTCCAAACAGAAGTCTGACAGCTCTTCAGCTTTTAACCTTATTACATGATCTTCCTCAGTGGATGGAGTTGGGACTGAAAAACACCACACACAGCATGAGAAACCCTACTGTGATGTTACTCTGTGTGTAATACACGCATCAGGCCACCAGAGAGCAGTACACAGTTGAATAGCAACTGTGTCAACAGTGACTTACAGGACTGAAAGCATTGTTATGGGAAGCCGTAATGGTGAGTCCAGTTTTAACCACTACACACATATGATGGGGGTAGGGGGACTCTCTCTCTTGTTCACCACACTCCAGGATACGACGACAAGGAGAAACCTCAACCTGCATGCAAGGAGGGCAAGGGTCACTGGGAGAAGCCACAAGGAAACTCTTGAGAAGTCAACTAAGTAAAGAGCCAGGGTTTCACTAACCAAGTAGTTCAACATTCCAGCAATGAGAGAATGTCCATCCATGCCTTAAGTAGGAGCCGTGATTGCTCATCTTCCACAAGTGGGAAACCAGTTTTTCAACCTTGCTCTGGTTCACTCCCACATTCCTGCACACTGCCTTCCACTAAGTCTGCACAAACAACTCTCAATTAATGTGAATATCTAACTTTTCTACTTGTTTTATACTTGAGCAATGCAATTAACCATTAAAGGGATCTAAAACTGGTTACAGTCCCCATACCCCATACCATATATATCACATATTAGCTGTAAATAAAAAGTAATTTACAGCAGATTAAAAGTGAACAGTCACCTTTTGGTCTACACCTCTGTTTCAGGTTAACTCATTATATTTGTTAAAATATTCCACTCTGCGAGTTCCAGATGTTGCATCTGCAGATTCGTCATTTTCACTGAATGGTCGTCTCTGTTGGCCAGTGTGCTGTTTAGTCAGGCTGTTTGCTCCTGACTAAACTGTGACTATCACCAGTTTAAATGGGCGTGTTTCCTAAATCAGCTGACGGAGCGAACGTATGGAAGTAAATCTTTCATCTGTAAATCTTACAGTAAAATCTGTTGAGCTGATAGTGGAGAAACTATCCACTCGTGCTTTATTTTATAAAGCTGTCATTCAGGCAGCTGAATCTAACCATTAGATTCAGGCACAGAGAATCTAATGAAATAATAATCAAGCAGTCTATTCATGTTTAGATTTGCATAACACAGTTTTAGTTTTTTATTCTTTCAGCTGTAGTACGGATACTATTTAATGGCCTGAGAGCAAGCAAACAATTAATGCAACAACATGATTCAAATGTAGGCTTAGTCTACCTGCAATTAAATTGGTTGGTTTTGTGGCTCATATTCAGCTTTTAAGTATAGACCAAAAGTTTTTAATAGGGTTGATGTCGGGGCTTTGGGGAGGCCAGTCCAGATGCTCCATGTTAGACTGCTTTATGCATTCAAAACCAGTTTTGATGCGTTTGGGGTCATTGTCCTGTTGGAACGCCCAGCTGTGTCAAAGTTTCAAGCCTCTAGCTGTTGATTTGAGGTGAAGTTGAAGTATTTGGAGGTAGTCCTCCTTTATTATGCCATCCACTTTATGCACTGGCAACAAAACACAGCAGAGCACGATGCTACCACCACCATGCTTGACAGTGCACAGACACTTCTGCGTTCAGTAGTACTTTATTTCCAACTGTGCTTTTCCCCCTGCTGTTTCTGGCATCTGCCCTGGATGCTGCCACTCCGTCATTCCCATTGTATGTATGTGTGTGTGTGTGTGTCCCGCTCCTTCTCACTGCAAAACATGAGAATGGGTTCTCTCATCAACACAGTTCTGCACACCTGCTCCTTCCCGCCTTCACGCCGCCCCGTGAGCTCACTGTGTCAGCCCTCCTCTGCAGCAGAGGAAATCAGCCACGACCATCTGCGTCCCCGGCCTGTCCCCAGCCAGATACCAGCAGGTTATCCCAGCATTGGGATCCTTCATGCGGTGAAGCCACTGTAGCGGGGCGTGGTCTGAACAGAGAGTGACTGGGTGCCCCAGGAGGTAGTAACGAAGGGAGTCGACCGCCCACCAGATTGCCAGGCACGTCTTCTCCACAGTGCTGTAGCGGGTCTCCCGCACCCTGAGCTTGCAGCTGACGAGGAGGATGGGACAGTCGGCTCCCCCTACCTGCTGGAACAAAACGGCCCCCAGCCCTCTGTTCGAGGCGTCTGTCCGCGAAATAAACGGGAGGGAGAAGTTAAGTATGAACAACAGTGGGGATCCGTCTTTACCTGCACAAACAATGCCTGGCACTGCTCCATCCACTGGACCAGATCTGGGGCACCTTTTCGGGTGAGATTTGTTGAGGGACTAGTCAGGTCCGTCCAACTGCATACTTCTTCGGGTTGGCCATGAGCCCCGACTGCCTCAGGGACTTCAGGAGCGCTGCAACCCGCTGCACATGCTCCGCCCAGGCATCGCTGTAGATGATCACGTCAACTAAATAGGTGGCGGCATACGCAGCTTGCGGCCCTAGCACCCGGTCCATAAGGCGGCCATTTTTTCCTTAGACCCCGCAGACAAGGGAATCTGCCAGTAGCCCTTGGTCAAATCCAGCGACATGAAAAAACGAGCAGTGCCTAACCGGTCCAGGAGTGACCCGAGGCATCAAACCATGACACCTCATTCACCTTGCAGTAGTCCACACAGAACCGTATAGACTCATCTTTCTTCACCACAAGAACTACGGGGCTACACCAAGCACTGTGCAACTCTTCTATTACTCCCAGCCTCAGCATATCGTTCAATTCCCGCTGAACAATTTGTCGCTTATGCTCCGGGAATGCACCGTCATGCCAGGCTGCATCTCAATATCTTCCGGCACTGGCACGTCTGGCTGCCGCTGCTCACCGATTTATTCTCATTTTTATTTGTTCTAAAGTTATTGACAACAACTTGAACCAAGTTGTAATCCTGTTGTTCTCCCTGTCTCTGCCCCACCCTTTCACTCATTTGAATATATACAGCTCCTTGGATCTACTCCCACCATTATATGTACTGTGTACCGGCCACCTAAGCCGAATAAGGATTTTTTTTAATGACTTTGCTGCTCTTCTTACTCATTTCTCGGTACTTTTCCCAAATTTGATAATTTTTGGTGACTTCAATATCCACATGGACAATGATAAAATCCCTCTTTCCAGAGATTTTATTTCTTGTCTGGAAAGTTTGGAGCTTCTACAATACATAAAATTTTCTACTCATTCTAAAGGTCATATCTTGGATTTGGTCTGCTGTTCTGGCGTTACCCCCACTCACTGTAAAGCCCATTTGTTTCCCCAAGCTGATCATAAGTTTATTTCTTTTACTGTAAATACAAAAGCCTACAAAACCTGTACACCCCGTGACATCACATTTAGGAAAATTAGTAATATTAACCCTGCAGATCTTTCATCTGCCATTTATGACTTTCCATTTATTCACAGCTCCTCATCCCCAGATGAACTTGTTTCTCACTATAATGTCGACCTCCATAACCTTCTTAACATATTTGCTCCACTTAAACACCGAACTGTCTCATTTTCCTGTTCAGCACCACGGTTTACTCTTAACCTGCGCCATCTCAAAGCTAAAGGACGCCAACTGGAACGTCTGTTTAAGAAAACTGGATTTACCATACACAAAGAAATTACAAAACCTCCAGACTCATTCCCCTCTCATATGGACTCTGCTGACTTTTGTAACTCTCTTCTATCTTTTTTCACTCATAAAATCACTGATATTCACCAACAACTTAACTTTGTAGGAGCTTCTAACTGTGAAGTAGACTTTCTGTTTTCCTCGCTGTCTTCCTCTCAGTCATTTTCAAGTTTTATTCCATAGCTGTTGTATCAAATCTTATTAAAAAATCTAAATCATCCACTTGTCAGCTCGACCCTCTTCCCTCTGTGTTAGTTAAAGCTTGTCTTCCCTAATTGGCTCCTCTCATAACTAGTATTATCCACTCTTGCCTTAACACTGGAATTTATCCTCCATCCCTAAAAACTGCTTCCGTCATTCCAATTCTCAAAAAGGCTGGTGCAGATCCCAATAATTTTGATCTCCGCCCTATATCAAACCTCCCCTTTATTTTGAAAATCCTTAAGAAAGTTGTTGCCTCCCAGCTTCACTCATACCTCAATGACCATAATCTCTACAAACAATTTCAGTCTGGTTTCCGCACCAATCATAGTACAAAAACTGCTTTGTTAAGGATCACTAATGAGCTTCTGATGGCAGCTGATTCTGGTCTTTTAACCATTCTCATCCTTCTCGATCTTAGTGCGCATTTCACACAATTTCTCATATCCTCCTGAGCAGATTAGCATCCATTGGCATTAGTCACACTCCCCTTGCCTGGTTCACCTCATATCTCTCAGACCGCACTCAGTTTATCCAACTTAAATCACACTCTTCAAGTCTCTATCGTGTTTCCTGCTGGTGTGCACCAGGGTTCAGTCTTAGGCCCTCTGTTATTCATTATCGACATGCTCCCTCTCGGCCAAATATTCCGAAAATATTATATTAATTTTCATTGTTATGCTGATGACACCCAGCTTTACATTTCCTCCAAACCCAATTCATCCCTTCCACCTACCTTCCTCTCTAACTATCTTATGGAGATCAGATCTTGGTTCTTCTCCAATTTTCTCAAACTTAACAGTTTTACTCATTGGCACCTTAACCAAATCTCACAGTTTCTCAATTAATATTGAAAATTCCCTGATCCTTCCTTTCCTGCAGGTAAAGAGTTTGGCTGTCATACTTGACAGTACTCTCCCATCTCAGTCTCACATTAATTACATAACCCGGTCTGCATACTTTTACTTACGCAACATTAACCGACTTCGTCCCTTCCTTACTCCCCATGCTGCTGCCATCCTTGTCCATAGTCTTATTACTTCCCAGATCGATTATTGCAACTCCAGTGGCGTGTCTAGAAAATTTTTGTTGGGGGGCCAGGTAGGGGCACAGATTTGGAGAAGGGTGGCAGATTTAATTGGCAGATAATGTTTTAAAAAAAAATTCTACCAACCATTAACCATAATTCAATAATCCTATAAACCTAATAACCAAATGCACTTTTAACTCTTATTAGAATGAGATTTTAACCACTACGGTGCAAAGTTTTTAGATACTGCGTTGATAAAGTACAAGAGATACAATCAGTGCTTTGTCAGTGTTTACTCAGCATTCAAGGACAGCAATATTTGCATAATATTTTTACTGACATATAGTGCACATATGTTTTGGGCAAAAACA